TTAGAAATCTTGTCAACATAGTTAGAGCTCATCGGATTGAATTCGAGTTTGAGAAATGTTTAGTACGTGATATTCATTGAATATAAAAAGTATTTCGAATCTTCAGGACAATTATCCAATTCCGATTCATTGAGAATATCAAAGTACGATTCGAAAATTTTCGATCTGACAATGTATAAAATCTTGCTATTGAATACATTATATAGAAAGTTTCCTTGACTATTATAATTACTATGTGGATTTAAGCTAATTGCTTCAAAAAAAAAATAATACGTTGTTAGCAAACTTTATATGAGCATCTTATTTGCAATAATTGTTCTCCGAAAGTAAAAACTTACCATGGCTTCAGACGTTCCTAGTGTTTCTTCCAATTGTATCGGTTGTTCAAAGTCTACAACAAGCCAAGGTTCTTTTTCTGTTGATGTCATTGAAGAAATCTGATCATCTGACAAGGATTTTTCTTCTACTATCTGATTTGTATCTGGATAATATTCATGTACAATTACTTGTGAATTTGATATATAATCACTAGTACTTAATGATTCAGATAGTGATTGATTTGGTGATTTTGATATTATTGTTGTTGTTGTTGATGGTATATCAAAACAACCATCACGTACTAATGTTTGACAAATACTAACAAAATTATTTTTATCAATAATTGGTATTTTTAAATCATTTGATAAATTAATATCATTATTAAGAAATTTTTTAAAAAGATAATAAAGATATTCAATTAAATTTTGATCAACTTCAGTAACAGTTGGATATTTATCTTTTTTTCTTTTTCGTTTTTTTGATTTATTTTCATTTGATAAACATTCAACACGTAAAATAAGTAAATTAATTAATGTTAATATTTCATTATATTCATTAGTTTCAAATAAATTTTCATTATTTAATTGAGAATTCATTATAATCGATTGAGATATTTTTATTGATGATGAAGTCGTATTTTTAGATGATTTCTACATAAATTAGAATTGTTAATTTACTTGAAATACAAAACAATTATAAGAATGTATTCCTATTCAAATGTTTAATTCATATAACAACAAACAGTTTAAATAAGAAAAATCTTTTTTCATGTTGAAAAGAAAGAATGACAAAATAATTTTGAGACAATTCTTATTTTTGTTTTAAAAGATTGAAAATAAAACAAAACAAAACAAAAAAAAAAAAGGTTTTACTCATCCTAATCTCAATAAGTAAAAAAGATAGATTGTTCATTTTACCTGTTTTGTATATTGACGATAATCATTTGTTTTATCATTTGTTGATGTTTTTAATTCATTACGTAAATATTGAAGAAATGAAGTAACAAGTAATGTTGAATCATTTTTATTATAATTCGTATTTGAATCACTTGTATATCGTCGACGTTGTTGTTTTATATCTTCATCAAAATTTTCATTCATAGACGAAAAATGTTTTGTCGGTGGTAACGATGTTGGTCGATTTATGGTTTGATATTTCGAACAATCGTTCTTATTATTTGAATGTTTGTTTGAATGAATATTATGACTACTACATTCCGCAGGTAGTTCGGCGGCAGAAGAAAATTGATCAACTAAAGTAAAGGTTATTGTGACATCTGTTCAATCACAATAGGTATGTATACATATATATAGACATATCAAGAACTATGCTGTTATATGTAGAAAAGAAGAATCTCTGGACAATATTCATACCGCAAAGACGGATGATACAGATTAGTTTTGATTATAAATTAATCAATAAATATTAAAAGAAGAATAGATTCTTTTTTTTTTATTCCTTCTCACCTGTTCCCATTACTTTTGTTATGTCATTAAAATCTTCTTCTTCATTGATGCGATTCATTGTTTACAATCAATGTCGCCACCACATACCAATGATATGCAGAAAAGAATTAATGTTTTTATTTCATGTCTATGCTTTTTTTTTTTCTTCTTTTTCTTTTTTTTATTAGTATTGTCCGTGCGTGTTGTTTAAAAAAAGAAAAAAGAAATATTGACGACTTTTTTCTCTTCTTCACCGTACACACATACATTCACTTTCATTTTATGCGAGGTCATCAACCATTAGGGATTGTGCCTTTTTTTCTGCTTCTTTTACTTTACTACGACATCTCTGTGAAGAAGAATGAAGGACGAAAAAGCATATGATTTGCAAAAATGTTTTAATAGTAATTGACTACATACTTAAAAAAAAATATGATTGAGAATTATAAAATGAATGTTCTCTCTGATATATATATATTTGGTACTTTTTATAGACAACCGAGAGAGAGAGAGAGAGAACACCCAAAGATACCCAGCCTATATCTATATACTTGCTTTCGTCATGATTTCTGTGTATTGTGTTATATGACGCATTGGAAAAAAAAATCATAAACTATACGATTCGTTTCATTTAAAACTTGTATATCATCATATATTCATTATTTTTAACCGGTACTCGACATAGAAAAATAACACATCGATTTATTTACCTGTAATATTCATCTTATCTAATATCGATTTTGAAGTGAAATAGCAACGTTAAAATAATGTTTGTTCCGGGTCAATATACGATGAGCTTGTCACCTGTACTAATCGGTTATATAGTAATATATCATAGAACAATGGAAAAAAACCGAGAAGCAATAGAGCGTTATCGGATCTGAAAGATAAGAACAAAAGAGAGGAAAAGGAAGAGAATATAGCGTATTAATGTATTGAGCATCAAACATGCCAAGTTCAATATGTCAATAAACTGAAGTACACACATATATATATATATATGTACATATGCGTGAAAAGAAAGTAGATAAAACTCTTTTTCTTGTCTTTTGTTTTTTTTACATGATATGCATATCGATGCCAGTTCTTTCTATTCTAAATTATTGTTTTTTTTTCGCTGCTAATGTAGACTATGAATGATACCTCCTGTTGTTTTTTCATATCATACCGAACGATGGATTATTCTACTTGTTATCATACTATAAGTCCAACAAGGTAAAAGAAATATGATATGAACACATGTAGATATAGATATGATTATGCTTCTCATTAATGATTTAGTACTCTTTTGTTAATACAAAAGAATTCCCCAGGCTATTCTAATGACTATTCTGTTTTAAAGTTGAATGTACCTATAAAATACATTAATAAATAAATAATCTATTAGAATAGTATGTGCCACTATTCTATAAAAAATAAAATAAAATATATGATTATACTTATGTATCAATGTAAAAAAAATATTGGTTCGATTTTCAAGTTTTTTAATATTGTGACGAAGAAAAAAAAGGCAAAAACGTAAGATGTATATAGTTAAAGACAAGGTGAGAACAATTATAAATATTTGATTATATGGTCATACTTTCTGCTTTACTAATTGAAGGTAATATTTCTTATATATTAATATATATATGCAGACAGTCCTTGGTGAAAAAAGTCAAAACAAGGACAAAACTTCACACTTGATAGTATTGTAGGTTTATACCAATAAATCAATAAGAATATGGTAAAGTCAAGATCGAGAATGTGTTTTTTTTTTTGATTATAGTATATCAATATTACTTTTTAAAAGAAGTTATAGTGAAGTTTTCATTAATATAGAAAATTACTTTCGCATGGCTTCTTTCTAAACAAAGATGAAAGATAAGACAGTCTTTATAAATCAATAGCACTTCTGTATTCAATTCTTCAATTTATTTTCTTTTTTCTTGTCTATCTTTATCCGATCTAATCCTTATGTAGTGTGTGTATGTGTATGTGTCTGTCTAGTAGTTCTATTCTTTTCTTTTTTGATCGATTGATCTCCTAATATATAGCTTTATAAACATATCTTACAACGTATTTGTTCTTAGAAGATTAATCTAGATATTGACACCTTCATATAATGATAAGAGTATAATCTGATCTTTCAATAGTTTTGACAAATATCTGAATAATCTAGATTACATGAAAAAAAAAAAAACTTTAATATTCTTTCAAAACGGAAGTCATCATTTATTTTTGTTGATTTTATTTAACAATAGAGAAAAAAAAATGAGTATTAAAATTCATTTCAAGTATAGATTTTGAATATTTTTATGTTTCTTTTTTTTTCGAGTATATGTGACAATTGAATATAAAATGTTCATTTGCATATTAAAAAAAATTATTATCAATAGAATCCTAAGGAGACTAAAATGAATGTAGTTCATATCTGCTGTATTACATAATCAAGACATACAAAATCATGCATATTTATAATTTTTACCTTTTTCTTCTTCGATGATTACCCATTCATCTAGTTGATGTTTAGCCAGCTTTTCTTAGTTATTATGAAGCTTGAGGATTATTATGTGAAATAAAGTAAAGAATTATAATCTATTTTGCATATATCGAACTTATGAAATCAATATGTGTGGCTTTTCGATAACGAATAATCATAAAACCATGATTCATCTTTTTGTTTTAAAAATAAATACACCGAAATAATTTGATTATATATTTTTAATTTAAAAATACCAAAAACAATAAAATAAGATCTTACTGGATTATTGTATTATTGGCTTTATCTTTTTTTCTACTGCAATAAAAAAGAGAAATTTGACAAAGTATTTGGATTAAATATGTTATTCGAAATACATAGCTCATAAACAGCAGTTGTTATCGCTGATTTCAAAGGCCGTTTAATCAAGGTAAACTAGTAATCTGCAATTGAGACGATGTAAAAAACAAAATAAGTAAAATACTCTGTTGTCGACAATGAAAAAAAATTCGTTTTATAAGAAATTCGCTGTTCTTTCGTTTTCTCTTTACTCCTCGTGATTTTTTTTTTCGCAAGTTGTCTGTCACATTTTTTTTATTAATATTGTGCAAACCAACATGACAAGTGGGAAGAATCGAATAAGTTGCTTGATCTATTCACAAATTCACAGAAAAAAAAAAGAATCATTGAAAAACTTCATTTTGAACGAAGATTATTCATAAAATATCAATATAAAGAAGCTAATTATACAAAAAAAAATGGAGATAATAAAAGTTTTAATTTAAATCAAATTCATTTGTGGTTATTAATTGAGAATAAACAGCATTATGATTACGTCTTCCAGTATGAAATCTATTATTATTATTATTATTATTCTTTTGAAATAAATAATGATTATGTAATATATTTATTAATCCAAGAAGTATAAGAGCGAATATAGTTGCTAGAATGAAGAAGATTGGAGCAAAATCTCTGACTATAGATTTTGTATATATTTGAGAACTTAAATCAGTCCATCCACTGTTTGATTCATTATCAGTTGATGGTACTGTTGATGTAAGACTTGGATCATTATTCATTGGAAGGTTAATAACTTCACTACAAATAAATACAAAACATGTTATCGAATTCGAGAAAGTAATTCGATACTTCTAATGAAGTAGAATAGCGAACATGATTCCTTTTTTTTTGTAATAATAATAGAAGTATAGCAATTGAGTTCTGATATAAATATGATTTCTTTTTATAATCATATTTCATCGACTCGGGAACTTATAATTCACTTCTGATTAAGTCTCAGTGTAAGAATTAACTTAGAAATGATCATAAACTACAAAATACATTATATAAGAAATGATGCAAATAAAAACAATCAATGTAAATAATTAGTTATTCAAGACAATTCGTAAAATATTTTTTACATCATCAATCAAAATCTATACGGTGGTTTAAAAGTAGACTGACAGTCTTTAATTGCGAATAACTTTTGATAGGAACGAGATAGAGAACTGCAGTTTTCACCGTTTGAAAGAGGAGATGAAGACACATCGAATCATATATTAGAGGTTTTTCTATATTCTATGTTTATTTCCTATTAATAACTTACCGTTGCGCTTGAATAATAACCGTTTTTAAAATCGGTGGTCTTTGACATATTACAGTTGCTTGTCGATTACAAGGTATTTCATCACATCGAATAACTGGTGTTGTATCAGATAATAAATCAAGATATGCACAACCAATTTGTTGATCTTTTAATCGATTTTGATCATTTTTGGATAAAATTTTTGATGAATTTATTTTTGTATAATGTTGATGAAATGTTTGTTCACATAAATCATAAATAGAATTAGAATCTGGTACAATTTGTAAAATACTTTCATCAGTTATATTAGATCGTATAACAGTACGATTTTGATTATCATAAATAACACCAATATGTGCAAAACCAGATGATGCATAATTATGTCGACGTAAAAATAAGGATCTTATTATTTTTAATGTAATAAATTTTTCAGGTACAAATAACATAGCATTATCACGTTCACATTCAGATTTTGCTTCGTTCCAACTACTTTCGTGAAATGATATTTTATAGCAATATTCATCTATAAAATCATACTCTGTATCATTACCACATGAATAATCTATTGATGTATTAACTGATACAGATATCACATCATCATCTGTAATTGAAGAAATAATAGTTGAATTAAATTCTAAATGTTGATCAACACAAACTGGTGTAGCGGACATTAATGAACAAAGATTTGATTCAGCAATACATTGATCATCAGCTATTATATTACTATATGAAGTTTTTTCATAACGAAGAACAATACAATTTCGATCAATTGCGTTTGATGTTTGTGAACATTTTCCAAGTGAACGATCTGATATTGTATTATTATTAATAATATCTGATGTACGATCAATCCAAAAATATTTTGAATCATTATATGATTTAAAAGCAGAAAAAATTGAAAGTGTATTTGAAAGACGTCTACTTAAAGTTGATTCAGATAAAATATTTTGAATTTCTAAAATATCATTTATTTTTGCAATAATACCACCAATAGATTTACAATAAGATTGTGCACTTGAAAATGAATTTTTCTTTATTGATGAATGACTATATACACATTGTTGATCATTTTCAGCAACTTCAAAACCTAAAAATAATCAAAAACAAAAAAAAATTTATTACTTTCTATTTAATTTTTAATAAAAACAAAAGAAGATAAATGTTTTTTTGTTTTTTCTTTTACCATGACGACATTTTGGTTGCATTATATACATTGAATATATTGTTGAATTTGTTTTATTTCCACATGTATAAAAATAATTAGCTGAACATTCATAAGAACAATATTGATTTTCAAGTATAGTTGTATCATATTGTGTATCTTTTAATGGAATATTTGTACATAAACATAAATTGGAATTTATAAATGCATATTTTTGTTGATAATTTGTACATAATTGTAAACAATGACGTGGATGAATATTATGTACATTATTTAAATTAAATTGATATGTTGTTGATGAATTAAAGGAACTTACATATATACAACTATCATAAACGAAATCAGGAAATGAATCCATTGGTATACGCATCAAACTATATATACGTCGAACATCAACGACATGAAAGACAACGATTGTATTTTTATCACCACAGCGTTCATGTATATTGCCTAAAATTATTAATTATTATATATATATATATATATGTCTGTTTAATCAGATATAGGTTCAAGTTCAAAACAACAAGAGAACAACTTTTTTTTAGCGTATGAAAATCAATTTCTTAACTATTGATATTGTCATAGTGGAGTCTGTCAGGTCTAAAATTCTTGGACTTGTAACTCGGTTGATTGAACTTTTTTTGAGGCCGAAATCTGGATCCGGGTCTGATTGATTGAAAATTTTCGGATCGGGATTGGGGTCTGAGACCAACCTGACAGACTTCAATCCATAGTCGATTGATTATTATTTAAAGATTTGATTAAACTTCAAAGAGAAATTCATGATAAAATAAAAATCAAGTTTTCTTGTAATTCAAAAATATACAGTTATCGCAAGAAGTCCTGTTACATAAACTTCAATCCTTTTGTCTGATATTTTGACTACAAATAAAGCTCGATAAACCTTGATCGCAAACACTAACTCGAGGTCGATAGACCTTAATGCAAAGAATTTACGATGAAAACACTTTTTTTCTGCAGAATTCAAAAAAAAATACTTTTCGAGTTTTTCATTATTGAAATACGTTAAGCTCTATTTTCTTATTAACAAATAAAGATTCGCATGTCTATATTTTGTTACAAATAGAGTACTTTAGTCCACTATAATCATGACGCGGGGCGAAGTCTCCCTTATCCGATATGGTCCTCAGCATGAACTTCTTCTCCATCAATGGTTGCAATCGTAAAATTTTGAAATTTTAAGACAAATGGTTAAAATTAGCAGAGATATGAGTCACTTTTTGACGATTTCTTTCAACTCTCGTGTGAGAATCATTCAAACAATGTTTTTTCAATCAGACAAGTTCAAATCAATATTTATCTTTGTCACATACCTGGACAAGGATCTCCACAATTTTCTTGTAGATATTCTGCACGATATTTTGTTAAATTAAATACTTTTGAAGTAAAACCATTTAAACAATAACATTTGTTAATATTAATAATAGCTAATTTTGTTTGTAATCCTTGACAAATAGTTAAACATAATTCATATGTTAAATGTTTTGATATAAATGCTGGTAAATCAAGTATTAATGGTTTACGAAAACAACGTTGTTGAAAATTATGAACAATTAATGTTTTTGTTTCACATAAAACATGTTTTGATTTTGAACAATCATTTTTTTCTGTAGTATTTATAATTGGTGTTTCGTTTTCTTTGATTATTGTACGTGTAGCAAGAATACATGAATTATCAATTTCATTTGAATTATTTTTTTCCGTTGGATTCATCATTTGAAATTCATTTATAGACGAACGATAGATATTAAGATCTACTACCGTTGATTCATTCTTTAATTCATCTAAGAAAGAATTATTTTAATTATATTGAGAAATCATTAATAGTATGTTCTTGTTCGTGAGGTTTTATATTATTCTCAGAGTTTCTCTATAAAAACCTATGATTATCGGATCATCGTTTTCGGTCAGAATATAGCTGAGGATGAAAGTAATAAAGTACCACCGGTTGATTGTCGGTATATCACTCTATATATCGAACGGTCTACCGTCGGGTTTTATTCGATATGAATCATATGAATTCTTCCTCTATTAACCATTCAAAGAGATCATATTGGCTACCATCAATTTTAATTCTAATAGAAAGATTTCCAAATTTTCATATCTATGGAAAAGGTCAATATGCAGGTTTTTTTTTAATGGATAGATTAGGTTTCCGTTCGATTTATTGAATAATCTTGACCATATGATTAAGATTTCGTAACTTATAAAACAAAAAACAAAAATATTTAATTAAATAAATCCTCCGAGAATCAAAAAAACAATGAAGTAATTCAAACCGAACAAAATCCATCTGTAAACTGTTCGACATAATGTGCATCAGACCGGCATCATTTCCCGGTAGTGACAAATAACCTTCAGTATACCGACAATCAATTGGCAATAGTTTGACATCATCATTTTACTACGGTATACCAATAGTTATTCTCCAATCGACGATAGTAGCTTAGGAGAGAACATTCCCAGATGATCTACTCTGCTTGCCGATATGTAGAGGGTGACTAGAGTAGCGTAACTTTCAAAGAATTCCTGTCTATGTTGAAATTTGGTCGAGATAACGACTATTTAGTGAATTCCCGTTGTAGGAATCTAGTTTTCGGACAACATCGTACTTTAGAATTTCGATCTGGAACTTTGTACAAATGAAGATTTCGATTAGGCTATCTCATATATAACTGAGATCTTCATTTGTGCAAAGTCTCAAGTCGAAATTCTAAAATACGATTTTTTTTCGAAAACTAGGTTCATACAACGGGAATTCACTAAAAAGCCGTTATCTCATCCAAATCTAAACATGAACAGGAATTCTTTGAATGTCACGCTACTCTAGTCACTCCCTACATATGAGCAAACAGAGCGGAGCATCTGAAAATGTTCTCTTGTTAGATAAGAAATTTTTTTTTCAAAAATTTACTTTCAGAAACTGAACTGTTCGAATAGATCAGAGACAATTTTCAACAATTCCTCAGAATTTGCTTATCCTTATTAATCAATCGAATTCTCTCAATTATAGATAATAAATCAAAAAATTGATCTATAAGATTATAATGTAAAAATTTACCGTTATCAGGAGGTTTATCAAGAAGAAAAAAGCCCAATCGTGCTTGCCAATGTGATGTATATGAAGCAATATTACTTTTGGGTGAATCATGTACTTCATTATTATCATTATCATCATCATCATCAATGAACCAAAAATGAGATTTATCATTATTATTTGATTCAGATGTTGATATAGTAATACAACTATTTCTTGCATCTTGAATTGTTTTAGGTTCATTTGACATTCGATAACAACGTCCATTTAAATCAAACCAATTTGTTGGACAAAATTTTATTTGAGTATAAAAACTAGTTAGAAAAGGTAATTCATTTTCATTATCATTATCTGATATTGAATATTTATTTATTGGATTTGTTATACATAAACGATATGAAAATCTATCTATATACGATGTATATGAACGTATACGTAAACAACCATTATCTAATACATAACGTGTATTATAATTTAAACTAGAATAACTTGAATATGTTCTATCGATTGTTGTTGATGGACATTTCCATGAGGAATCAATAGTAATATCATCATCAAAATCAATTGTAACAATTGATTTATTTAAATTTAATTTTTCAATAATTTTTAAAAATATATTCCATGTTATATTACCATCATAAATATAAACTTTTGATGGTGTTATACATGAACTCCAAAATGTTTTATATGCATATACACATTTTTGTAATTCTTTTATATAAACATAATTAATTGGACATGAACCATTTAAATCATATATAGCCCATATACGTCGATTTGTTGATGAACCACATTGAAATTTTTGTTCAATTTTTGAATTATCCAATGTATTATCACAATAACGATTACAACTATTATTTGGTAATATTGTTAAATAACGTGAACTAGTAAATGTTAGATATGATTGTTGTGATAGAATACATAGACATTGATTATTATCATCATTAAAAGCTAGAAATAAATTTTAAGATTTTTCTTTATTTTCTAAGTATCGATTTATTTTTCTTTAGATTTTTATGTATATAGGTCAACTCATTTCAGAGAAAAATTGTTTTAAAAAGTCAAGGAAAATAGAAATATTGGTAGGAATCAACCAGCAGTTTCCAGATCAAATACGTGCAAGAACTATTTGAACAAAACCAATTTCATTCGTATGTTCAAATTTATTAATAATTTATACTAATTTTCTTAAATGTGATCATATAAAAAATGTTAAATGAAAATATTGGATAATAGATAGCTAAAAACAAACCGATTCTTTTCAGAACCGAAAGTTGTAACCGATCCAGTCCGATCGAATTATTTTTACTGCTTAGAATTAGTGGTTTCATATGTAATTTGTGAGCAAAAAATAAAGTTTATTTAGATTAATTTCCAGAATGGTTAAGTTCAGTAAAACGAACGTGCGCTAATCCAAATCCACTCAAACTATATCCGAATGTTCTATTCTGTGTTATCTATCGCCACAATCAGCGTAAACGCTTCTGAACCATATAGCAGCTTATCTAAAAAAAATCATTGCTTAATAGCGTAATGTGGATAATGTAATTATCTTAATGTTTAAAAGTTGTCAGAAAGAATTCCGAAATATGTCAAATGCGATTATTGTTTAGATATAGAAAGGTCATGACATATCTTTTAAGGGGGGCGGGGGGTGTCCTCACCCTAACATACCCTGAAACTTTGTCAATTTGTAGAGGGTACCTTCAATAGTATAACTGTGCAATAGGAAAGAAA